CATTCACTGTCGACTTTTCGAAACTTCAGAGTTGACATTGTCGCTATTCGAAGAACTTTATTTCCTCTGATGTGTTGCAACTGAAGTCACACGTGTTCTTTCTCTTACTCTTATATTTGTTCTGCTGTTAACAATAAGACATAATGCAAAGAAAAAACCGCCCACACCCTAAAAAGAAGCTGAAAAAGCATGCACATGTTCACTTGGTTACAAACAAGTCACATAAACGATGCTTCACCTTTGCAATCTGAATTCGCTTAATGGGAACCCTCTGTCGTCTGGGTTTCTCAAGGTTGTTTTCATCAAAAGCTCTAAAACTTACAGAGTATATACATCACCATGAGTAGAGGATGTTGACGTGGGTGAAACACAGACAAAAACCAACATCCACACAGTATAAACTGATTTTTCAATGGTTAACACTGAGAGTCCCAAAAAATTTCGTTCCATGATGATCGTAACTATCCGTAGCAACGACGCTAGTGAAGGAGAATAAGTCCTTTTGCTTTTGAAAATTTCTCCTGGAGCTTTCTCCTTCTTTAGACAAATTTTCTGGTTACTTCTTTGCGACTTTATAAAGATTTGGGAAATTTAATTGATTCCTGCGATCAGTCAATAACATTTTGGAACCATTTTAGTCTTTCTGACGACAAAGTTCACAGTTATTTATTCATTTTCCTCAAGTAATCGTAAAAAAACTATATCGTTTTCAGCGATGATAATTAAATTTCTGAAAAGATGTAAAAAGAATACTGACAAAAATTGAATTGATTGAAATATTTGACGCGATGATCAAAGTCTATAAAGCTATTTGAAAACTGATTGCGAGTTTCAAAAGCCACAAGTTATTTCATTTTTAACAGTTATCACAAGTGCAGTTGCCTTCGACGGCATAAGCAATAATAAACTTCTGAACTAAACATAGAAAGATATTCCGTACAGAATAACCTAAGAGAAAGCAGAATTCTTTAGGAGCCTGTAACAATTTTCATAATGCAGAAAATTGTGTTAAGTTCTGATTGAATTTATGAGCTTCTCTTGAAATCCGTCTTTTGTATGATATATGGAAGACAACAACAAGACTTTTGGTACACTTTTTACAATCGAAAAAAATCTACTCTGCTTTTGATGCCAAAAGCTTCCACGTTCTACAATTTTGACTGCGTTGAATCAGTTTGAAGCACACCTTTATTTTATTTTCTCAAGTATCCCTCTCCTGCTTTGATCTCTTCACGGCACTCCTTTATCTTGAAAGTACCTAATAAAACCAGCGAACAAAACAAATAATCTTACATTCAAAGCGTATTTCATTGGCTTACATCATTGTATTAAGAGTTGCTCATCTATTTCAATCATAAAATCAAATAAATCTATCGAAATCATTTTATTTAATCGCAAATAACGAATAAAATGAAATAGGAATACATTCAAGTTAATCGAAAATACATTCATAGTTTTCTTATATTATTTTCTTTTTCGTTGTTTTTCTTTTCGGTTTGATCGACCAAGGAAAGTATTTATTACAAATGATGATTCATTGTTAACAACGAGATAAAGCGTGAAAATAATGGAGAACAATTTCAAGATTCTTCATTCGATAAAAGATGTTCATCAAGTGATGATTCGATTTGATCATTTAGAATGTTCGAAGTAGAATTATCATCAATTTGAGGTTAAAGATTTATAGTTTGAATATTTTAATCCAATTTTTTCCTTTGCTTTATTATTTGCATTTGATTTTGAATTTACGATGGATATATTCAGGGTGTCTCAAAAGTCCGCCATGAAAAACAAAGTGAATATATTTTAATGTCAGTGATTTATGTAATTTTATTAACAATATACTAGTATGCTTCTTGAAGTTTTATTTTATATATTTTCAGATAAATGTCTGTGCCTACAGATATTAAAATACAAAGGGTTTTTATTAATGGTTAGAATTAAGTTATCCATAGCTGTGAAACGACAAATGTAAGTCGAATATGACATATAAATATCAAATGTAGACTGTACTAGAGATACTTTTTAACAGTTTTGTGAAATTTGTACATTAGCAAATTGACAACGCTGTGAAGGATCTTCACAAATCACTGAAGAAAAAAATCGAGAAAATTCAGTGTTGGTGAAAATGTGCCACTACTGAGTGTATCGTGCTGTTGCCATGGCCGGCTCCATTCCATGGACAATGGTACATCGAATTTTGACTGAATATCTTCTAACAAAGCCATACCAAGTATAATTTGTCCAACAATTTTACAGAGAAGATTCACAAGATCGTATCAACGTGAAAAGTTAATTAGTTTTGCTGTTCATATTAATATCATCAAAACGGAAACGAAACACACGAGAATACTTATCAAATAAAAAAAGCGATCAGAATCGACTTAAACTAAAGAAAATAGATAAAAAAAGTCCTAAAATAACTTCAAAGAAAAAAGAACACACTCGATCTCTTTATCTAGTTAACAGTAACTAAAATAGAGTAGTCAGAAAAACTGCAATGTAGGGTGTGGATGTGGAGTGTGAGGTGTGAGTGTGGATGTCTGGTGTGGATGTGGGGAGGAGAAGACACTCACATCCACATCCACATCCACACCCATACCCACCCACACCCACATCCATCCTTATCCTCACTAACTGGATTGATCCTCTTCTCATCGATAACCAAACGGTGCAATTTAATCTGTCGGCATGGATGGGTGGTTACTATACTCAAGATGATAGCGTTATAGTATCGTTAAGTTTTGTTAATGCAAATAATTAAATGGTGGGTAGTACCAGTAGTCTTGGGTCAGTGCTCCTTATTGATCGAGGAAATGAATTGTCCTCACTATTTCAGTAGACAAACGAACTTGTGTTCGTTGCTGCTCGTTTTCTGACGTTGCTTGTAATGATGAATCGGTATTCAGAGTCATATAACAATGGCGATATTGACAACATTGCTATCATTCTTTACCAATGAGTAATAACTATTTATAAATTAACGCCATTTTTAAGAGTACGCTTTTCTATTATAACCTGATCATTGATTATCACGAATAAATTCTAATGCTGTATTAGTTTAATACCAGAGTCTGCCAAAATACACTAGAACGAGAGTGTCTTAATCGACCTATGGTCATAGATTAAGATCATTATTCAAAATGGTTACAAATATAAATGATGTTGTACTTTATTTATGTATTGAATTCTAACTACTATGTGCATATTTTATTTCAACACATTGCCTCTATATAAACGTATGAATAAATCATAACATTGATACTTTTTAGAACCGGCACGAAGAGAAACATTTATCTAAGATGTGAATGAAAATATCTTATAAAAGAAAAGGACAGGAAAATGAATCATCTATCATCATAGCATATAGAGCAGCACAACGAACAGAAAAATTACAATTGAAAAAAGAGAATATGTTTAGTAACAGATGATTCATAACAGCTGGTTTGAAGCAGATTTTGTATACTGCTTAGGAGGAAAAACGAATGATTTCGAAAAGAATTACGAATTTCTATATAACTTTCCACGGTCCACTAGATAAGATCGGTCAGATGTTGTCGGGTTTTAGCCAAAAGAAAAGATAGTGAAGCCATGTGAATGTATCACAATGGTGTGGGTGTGTGAAGTGTGAGTGTGGATATTCACTTCAACGATACCAAAATCCACACTCACACTCCAATATGGACTAATGTTTTTGTTTTATATCATTGTTAAACAAGTCTAATGGAAGTTTTATTATTATGATATCAGATGAACAATGATCAAATGGTGTAGAAAAGCAGATCTCTGTTTTTACTATCAGTCTATATAAAAAGAAAATTTCTTCAAGCACTCTATAAGAAATTGAAATAGTTCCGTAACTACTTTTGATATGACCTAAATGCATGTTTTTCTTTCTCTCAAACGTGTTGATCATTCATATTATAAATGGATTTGAATATTTAGTATCATGATATATTGATTCTACGATGTGTGAGACTGAATCGAATTTTCATCAGGATTCATATTTAATTCCTCAATAGTCATAGAGATTTACAAAAGGCGATCTTGCTTGTCGAACCTATAAATCATCTAATTACAATTACTCACTTGGTGATCATTAGTGGATCGAAAAATAGATATATTTTATCATATGATAAAAATCTTGCATAATCTTTAGTTTTGAATTTTTATTTAGCCATCGCTATCCATCCAGAAGAACAATTGAAATCTCAGCCTAATTTAGTTTTAATTCAAACGAAAAACTTCATTATTCGAACTTCATACACACCCAATTAAACGAATATTGATTACATGAAGCATTTGCTCGATGAACATATTTTGTCAAACAATAACAGATTAGTACATCCGTAAGTACTCAAGCACTTTTCTCAAAAAAAAAATCTTTTTTAATCCATCTTTTTTCGTGCTAATTGAGCGTAACGTGGATTGAAAGTAGCTTGGGCTCGAAAAATTTACCGATTTCACCAATCATAGTGGAAGCTCCGATCATTTCGTAGGAATATCTGATGACGCGCATTCAAATTATTACAAGCCTTTACGCTCATACTTTTCCCATAAGCAAGCGACCGCTATAACAGCATAATCTCCAAAGAGTTCTGCTATTCATTGAGATACGACCAAAATATCAATATTTCAACACATAAAGGTTTTCCAGATATGTATATTTTTATAAAAACATCGGAAATCTTTATGCTCTGAACAATTTATATCATGGACAAAGCTCAATGCAATAAGCACCTTTTGTAGATTGTGCTAGTCAAGTGCCCAGCCAGGTATTGCCACAAAAAATGGCATTAAAGCTGCCCACAAAGAGTGTAAGTATATACCTTTCCTTAGTCTACACACACTCACACCCCACATCCACATCCGTATATAGGAATGTCACTTAAGAAGACAATATCCAAATTTCAAATGATACTTTTGAAATGGTCTGTGAAGAATAGAATACAGTGATTAGTACGACTTGACAAAAATAAAAAACAACCGCGATTTTTTATTCAATCAAGATGAACAAGATTAACAATTTCACTGTTTTCGCATCTAAAGTATTCGTATGCGCAGAGTACTGAGCACGCAGCACAAATATGCCACAAAGCATGTAGTTGAAACCAGGATTTAGGCCAACAAATAATTTTTGTTACATCCAAATGTCCACAAAGTCCACCTATTAAAATCATCGTTAAACCAAAACCAAGTAATTTCATTTGTTTTTTTTTCATTTTTGAAAATTTCATATAGACAAATTCAGAAATAAGAAACATAATAATACATCCTATTACTAATATTTTTTCTCTGTTATCGTATGATTTCGGATAATAGACATCACTGGCATGCCAGAATATGTAAGCAATGAGAAGAAACATAAATGTAAACAGAAAAAGAGTAACTTTTTTATTTTCAATGCGTATGTGTTGCATAACGCTATAAAGTGTAATGAACGATGTGACAAGCCACATGCCTGTTACATCAAGTCGATGTCCGAATTGACATCGACATGCATGATTAAGCCATGATCCAAATGCATGTACACAATTGGTCAGTCCATTTATTACGGATAAAATTATTGTTTTTGTAAGACTATTTGATTTTGTTTCAATTGATTGAACAAGCATATAAAATCCGACACCGAGAAAACTAAAATCGGACAGTGAATTGACTCTTTCACGTAAAAAATTCTGTGATCTATCATGTTCACAAAAAGGTACACCATCGATCGACTGTTGTGTACTCGATTCATAGCGAGACCATGGTATTGTACCAGCAAGATACCAGTCCAAGACGAGGACACCGACGAAAAGAGTTACAAATAAAAGAATAAAAAAACTACGCATCACGAGCATGATCAATTCTAAAATTGAAGTACAGCTATTAATTTGATAAGACAATGCAATAAAGGATGTTTAGTAAGTTCTGAGCTTCGACAAAACTTAATCGACATATTGGTTGACAATATCTCTCTCTCTTTATGCTAGTAATATAGACACGAGAAGCATAATTATCAAGTTTTTGTAATCGCCGAGCAGTTTTCTTTTTAGAATTTTTAATAATACGCTGAATACAGTTTTACACAGAATAATACAATAATAGACACCAATGTATAATCGCCTTAATTGTTTAGTAAAGATGATTCGTGAACCACTATTCAGATCATCAGTCAGCGTTTTGTATACTGAATAAACAGTATTCTTTGTACAAATGTATTCACCATAGTATTAAAAATCTTAAAAAAGTTACTAGCCGTTTTGGAAAATTTGGTGATCATACTCCTTATACTTATATTACTATTGTTAAGAGAGATGATGTCCGTCAATAAGATGTGTTTGAAATATCGAACTGTCTACTCAAAACTCATATAGTTACATTTATTTAGCGATCTTTCTTTGTCTATATATAATCTAGCTTTTGTCGAAGCTCAGAATTTATGAAACACGATTTATATACTCATTTTGGAAGTTAAAAACACTAGTACGGGATCTGGATGTGCTATCGAGATTCTCTTCTCCCCATACTTACACTCACATTCATACCCTTGGCTCAGAGGCGGCTGAAGAATTTTGTGAATGCTGGATCTAAGCTTCAGAGAATGGGACCCAAATGGTGAGCTTTTATGAAAAAAAATTTCCGATTAGTGTTTGCAAAAAGAAATTTTTTTTCCTGAGCCTCACCTAGATATTTCTTTTCCTGTTATTAGTATTCCGTTTTTTAGAATTTAATAGTAAACTACATCGAATTTCATCAATAGATGTCACATTTCATCTAAAAATATGCAACCGTTCAGAAGTTATAACGTTTTAAAAATTTGCTACATGTTGCTGAAATTTTAGCAAAAACTCAAAACGTTATAACTCCTGAACGGTTGCATATTTTTAGATGAAATTTGAAATCAATTGATGAAATTCGATGTAGTTTACTATTAAACTCTAAACACAGAATACTAATAACAGGAAAAGAAACATCTAGATGAGGCTCAGGAAAAAAAAGTTTTTTTTGCAAACACTAATCGAAAAATGTTTTTCATATAAGCTCATCATTTGGGTCTAATATGATCATCCATAAGTTTCATTTGGGCCCCATGCTCTGAAGCTTAGATCCAGCATTCACAAAATTCTTTCGCTGCCTCTGCCTTGGTTCAATGAAATATATTTGAATGAACTCAAGTCTATTATCAACACAAATGACACGTAAAAAATACAACGTTTTTTTATGTAGAACTATTCTTTTCTTTTTCTTTTTCTTCTTGTTCTTTACTTTAACGTTGCCATTAACAAGTAAACGTTTGTTACCTTGGTATTACAATGTTAAAGGAAAGAACAAGAGCAAAAATAAAAGAAGAAAATAGTTACACATAAAAAATGTTGTATTTTCTATGCTTCATCTATGTTAATAATGGACTAAAAACCAGTCTAAAATATTCCCTAGTTCTTTTAAATAAATTCAAAGAAGTTGATCCATGAACTCGTATTCTTCATTGTTAGTGCATCTAAATATATTTCATTGACGGAAATTTGAATTGGAACTGTGATTAAAACTCATACGGTCTTTGCAGTAAGAAATCAAATTCAAACTACGATTCAAATCGACTGATCTGCCTATTTTTGAAAGTAGATTTTGAGAATGGTATTCAACCTTGATTATCGAATGAAGCAGCAAAGTTTCACCAGTAATAACTCACTATTACGTCACTCCAGTGCACGATGGTGAAAGAAATTGATGAATGTGTGGTATTTCGCACATGTTAATGTTGATTGTGTTTACATCGTGTGGCTGTTGATTATGCTGTTCGCATGACGTAGGACAAAACAAGCAAAACGACGATAATATACTTACCTATGAAGCAAATACTATATCTTATTAAAATATAATGCGCAATCATTACACGTATATGAATGACTGTGCATGAGCTAAATGTATCACACAACGTTGACACACAAGCTTTCAGACAAATATGATAAGTAAGTATATAGGGTGTCCAGTAAGTAACTCCACAAAGAAAAAGTTGAATATCTCCATTATAGCTCGACCAAACGGGCTCATTTTTTTACCAAGGATAGAGGTATGTTCACACTTCAAATTCATACGGACAAGATTAGGGAGAACTTCTGCTAAGTACTACTATTGACCTCAACAAGAAAATTTTACTTTTCACAGCTAGGGAAAAACAATATACAGAATGGTGCAAAAGTCACTTTATCCAAAACGAAAATTGAATATCTCCATTGCGGCTCGAGCAAACGTGCTGATTTTTTTACCAAAGATAGAGGCATGTGAACACTCCAAATCCATACAAACGAGACTAGTGAGAACCTATGGTAAGTATATTATTTTCTTTTCCTATCTGTGACAAGTAAAATTTTTCTTGTTGAGGTCAATAGTAGTACTTAGCAGAAGTTCTCACTAATCTTGTCCGTATGAATTTGAAGTGTAAACATACCTCTATCCTTGGTAAAAAAATGAGCCCGTTTGGTCGAGCCATAATGGAGATATTCAACTTTTTCTTTGTGGAGTTACTTACTGGACACCCTATATGTTCAAAATGAATAGATCGAAGAGTTACATTCGTACAACTCAAGTTAATTCAAATAAATAGGTATGAATGAACAACATCAGCAATATAATTCTCAATCAATAATGTATGATAATGACAGCGATATGGAACAACGAGAAGGTCTGCTTCGTTCATTAGTTCAAAATTCTTCCATGCTGTGGCATTGCTATCAATTTATCGAATTTACACGAGCTCGTAGTGTTCAACCATCTTTTCATCAAAAGTGCTATCGGCAAAGTATTCAAGGTCAACAATCAATTCCTTCTATTTTAAATAGTAAGACAATATACTCAGCACAAATCAACTATATTACGACATGAGTAGCTACTTGAAAGCACTTGAGTTTCAATATAAAGTACATAAAATCAAAGAAGAAGCTCTCCCTTTGACTCATCCAGAGTTGGATGCTTCTTACGCCAACACTGGTGGAGTGTATACATTACATCGTAGTATTAAAAACGTCATGAGAGGTACTAACATGGCGAAACAGAAGTTGTCTTCTTTTTTTGTTGTTGTTCTCACTTGCTGAATAAATTGGCTTGGATTGCTATCCACTTCTTTCTTGTTAGTTAGGGAATCCATGCACTTATACATGCGCATGACTACGAGTGCTTCCCTTCGCTTGCGCTGTGTACTACAGAGAAGACTACGTTACAAAGATCGGACAATGAACGTAAATGGACTATCAAGTAACGAAAGCAGTTACCTACGAATATTTAGAACTCTCTCACTTTTACACTGCCTCGTCATAACAGGATGCCCAGTTAGATCTTTAATCTGGCATGCATAGTGCACGGTCTATACAGGTATGCTACAACAAAAGAATATTCCACCCGGAATAGATGATTCATATCTTAACATTTTCTCAAAACTATATTTTAGATAATTTTTCTCAACAAAAAACATTCTTGACTTCAGAGTTTTCTTGTTCTACTCTTTCCATGACAACATCATAAGTTAATCATATTTTAAACAGTGGAAAATAATATTCAAGAAAGTAATGACAAGAAATACTATAATATTAATGAATATAAGTTCCCATGTCAATGACGACGCAAACGCATTGGAACGCGTGACGAACATAGAGGTGACGTCACGCGTACCAATGCGTTCGAATCGATATGAGTAGCCTTGTAGGATCTAACGGTATTCCAAAAATATAACTTTTGAACTCCTAAGAATACTCACAAAAGTTTTACTTCCTTTCACATAGGTTCCAACTACTACCCGATCCATGTCGATTCGAACGCATTGGTACGCGCGACGTCACCTCTATGTTCGTCACGCGTTCCAATGCGTTCGCGTCGACATGAGAATTGTTTCAATAATAGAAGTCAATATAAAAACTAATTGAAATATAACTACGATAAAATCACATGATGAGCATAAGTTTTTTTCGACTATGCATATTTATTTTTAGTGTGCCGCTAGAGGGTGTGGGTGGGTGTGGGTGTTGGGTGTGGGGTGTGAGTGTGGGTGTGGGTGTGGGTGGGTGTGGGTGTGGGTATGGGCGTGTGGGTGTGGGTATCTGGGTGTG